AAGTACTAAAGAAGAAATATCAAAAAGTTGATAGCTGTTTGGATAATGAGAATATAATGATCATTTCCCCTTTTGCCTCTTTATACCTGTGTGTACTTTCCAAATATTCTAAAATGAGGATGTATTCATCATTATTTATAAATGCCTACATGGTGTCAGTCATTAATTATCCTGAGACCTGGACCCAAAAAAACTCATGAGGCACAGCCTTTGCCTCAGGTTGTTTATAATGTGATGTCTCATTTTTATATTGTAACTTTTAAAATTATACAACAATGAAATTGTTGTTTAGGTGACAAGGGTAGGTGAGGGGAAGTAGTGTCCCATCTATTCCTCACTTGATCTCTTCCCTTCACACCACTTTTTCAAACCAACAGAAACTCTGGCTGTTTTAACTTCAAAATATATCCAAAATCCTATGAAAGGTAAACCAATAAACCTTTCAGAGAAAATAAATAAGAGAATATCTTCAAGACCCTGGAGTAGGCAGAGTTCTTTAACAGAGCACAAATGGGCTAACTATAAGTGAAAAAAAAATGGTAAATTGTACTAAGTTAAAATTAGAATTCTGATCATCAAAGCACACTACTAAGGGACTAAAAAGGCAGGCCACTGAGAAGAAAGTTTTTACAGTTCATATATAAGACTCATATCCAGACGACATAAAGAACTACCACATAGTAATAAGAAAAAGTCAGACAACCCAGAAGAAAATGAGCGGAGGTTTGAACAGACAATCATAAAAGGATATCCAAAAAAATATGGAAAGTCTTCCAAATATTAGTCATCATGGAACACAGATTACAACCACAATGTGATACCACTACCTCCCAAGTAAAAAAGGCAGATTGTATTGACTATACTTCAATTTTAAAAAGGAAAGAAAAAAAAGAGCAGATTGTAGCAAACGTGGATGAAGATGTACACCCTTGGTGGGAGTACGAATTGGTACTGTCACTTTAGAAAACCATTTGATGGAAGCTACTAGAACTAAAAATCAGGGAACCCCATGATCCAGAAATACAGTATGTACCCAAGAGAAACACACACATGTGTTCTTCACGTTACTTTTGTAATTGCCAAAAACTGCAAACAATCCAAATGTCCATCAACAGTAGAATGGACAAAGTGTAGTAGTACATACATAAAAGCAATACTGTTCCACAATGAGAATCAAGTATGACTACATGTAACAACATTTATAAATATCAAAGCATGATATTGAGTGAAAGAAGCCAGACACAAAGAGTACATACCACATCATTCTATTTATATGACATCCAGAAACAACTCAACTAATCTATGGTGTTAGAATTCGGGATTACTGATTACCCTTGGCAGCGAGTGCCTGTAGAGCGGAAAAAAGTAACTTCTGGGATTCTGGTAACGATCTGTTTCTTAGTCTGGCTGGTGATTATACTGGTGCATTCACTTTATGAAAATTCAAGGCATACTTTTCTGTAGCTATATTAAACCTCAATTAAAAATTACATTATATATATGCATATGTTTGTGTGTGATGTACACACATATATATACACATACACACACACGTTTATATATTACATTCAAAATATAACCACTTATATCTATATATTATAAATATGTAACTACATAATAAATATGTAACCACTTCTGACCCTCTCCATTGTTACCTCCAATCTCAGACACTGCAGTCCCCAATTCCTCGCATCCCTACAGTCTTCACCTATGGCCAGAATGATAATTTTTAAAACAGAAGCCAAGTCATATCTGTCCCTGGCTCATAACCAGTAGTCACTTCCCATGTCAATCAGAATAAAATCCTCAGAGGAGGCATATATCCTTGACAGCCTGTTTTAAATAGCTTCACTACCCAGACCTGTCACTTTCATCCCCTTACCCTGCTTTCTTTTTCTTTATAGTTCTTATCACCAACTGACACACCATTTACTTGTTTATTTATTTATAATTGTTCTCTCTGCCACTAGTAATGTAAGCTGCATGAGAGCAGGGACTGCATTATATCACTAACATTTAGAATAATACTCGGCATCATAAAGTAGGCAATGAATGAATGAATTAATGAGATCATCACCAAAACACATAGGAAATAGGCAGAATATATATGTCTAGTCCTCTTTTATTGGTTAAGACACTAAAAGAATGGTTACATTAGAAAACAAAAGAAATGAAATTACTTACTTGATGTAATTCAGGAGTAGTCTAGGTCTTCTGTTTTTCTCTCTTTCTCCTCTGTCCTTCCCCTCCCCTGTCCTATAGGCACACGTGTGGGCACCCACAGGCATAGTCAAAGAGGGAATGCAATAAGGACCGTTCTCCTGACTGACAGAAGTATGAGTGTAAAGTACCCCATTCAGTACAATTTATAGCCACTTTACTCACATCAGATAGTCATAAAATATAGTCTGTATTATATATACATGTGTGTTTGTGTGGTATAATTACAGAGATTATATAAACCTAGTGGTTCAGAATTAAATGAGGAATGACATCCAAAGATTCATTATATTGGAATTAGGCACTTTTCTATGAGCTTTGTTTTGTGGGTATGCAGCCCTTTTGAATATTTAATAGTAAAGAACCTTTTATTTTTCTTGCTGAAATGTATGTGTTTAGGACCTAGGGCTGCTCCCTCCAGCATTTTGCATTAAAAAAAATTTCAAACAGAGTAAGATCATTTTGTTAGGTCCTGCAACAATCAAAAACTTTCCAGGCCCGGAAGATGAATTTTTTCTAAGTGAGTATGTCCAAAAATGGAGATTGTTTCAGTCAAAAGTTTCACCTCCCTGTTCTCAGAATGAATTGTAGATAGAGCTCCTGGAGCAGACAAGGGTGTTTAAGGTTAATCTCTGTTTCTATGTAGATATCAATTACCTTTTCAAAGCGCTACCCAGTGGGATTTGCCACTTGGCAGCTTGTCTAAAAACTAGCTAAATGTGCAAACGTGTGTGGCGGGGGAGGAAAAGGTCCAGTTTGGTTGTCAACCTAGTTGACCTTTCAGTTTGGGTGAAGAAAAACATAAAAATCATTTTTTAAGAGTTTTTTAGGCCCTTTCAGTTGCTAAACAGCTGACTTCACAGTTTTGTTGGTTTATTTTTTAAATTGAAAAAATGGGAAACTCAGTGATAAGCCCCCCAGTACACAGTATGTGCTCAACTGCTAGTATTAGTCTTCCTCACCTCATCCAGCTCAGAAAGCAGTAAGCACGACATAGGCCCCATAACTTTAAAAGCAGATTGAATAATAAAATGAAGCCCACAACACATTGAGTGCAACAAAGCCAGTGTCAGAAGATCACTCATTCATCAAGTAGTTAAATCTTTTAATAAGACAGAAAATTATGGTTAAATGGTAAAAGGATTGATGCCTTTTACGTCTGAGTGCAAAATAACCATGAATGTCAGAGGAGAAAACGATGCCAATGTTCGTTTTGAAGCTCAGACTTACAGATCAGGAGGGGAACGTATGGAGTAATCAGGACATGTACATGACTTCAATGCAGGAATTCTAGCTTCATCTTTACCACATGACTTGGAAGCTGTGTGGCCTAGGACAAGTTACTTAATGCCTCTGCATCTCAGCTCCATAGAGATGTAAAATTAGGATGGTGAAAACACCTATCTTGCAAGACTCTTGTGAAGATTAAAAGAGGTCTTAGCTCTAAAAATGTTTTGTAGCCAAGAGCATGCTGTGATAATGTACAGGATTATTACTGCGCTTAAATAACGTACTGAGTACCGTTCTGTCCTTTCTTCCACCTAAAGTCACTTCTCTGAGGGTTAGCTCAAGTTACCCGCCATCCTTGAGGTTTGCCAATCCCTACTGTTTTCAATTAAGATATTTTTCACCAATTAAATAAGAACTTTTCATATGTTTCATTTCTGAACCTGCCTTCCTAAGCCTTTCAGAATAGAACTATGACCTTCTCGAAGCCCAAATTATTAGTACACATGAATGAGCAGCTCCCTGAGACTCTTAAGGGTAGGAAGATTGGAGGTGGAGATTAAAAAGTGAGAGAAATCTTTTCCTTTTTCATCCCAGGATGGAACGTTGTCCCATTTTCCTAAATACTTTTCTCTCTATAATAGAAAAAGTAACTATGTAATGAACACTTATCATACGCTAAGCATTGTGCTATGTGTTATTTATGTAATCCTTCTATCAGACTAATGCATCCTTCACTATTACTGCCACTTACAGACAAGAGGACTATAATTAGAATAAGTATCTTGACCAAGGTCATCTACCTAGTAAGTGCTAGAGTCAGGATTTGAACCCAAACCTCCTTTCCCAGTCTTTTTCCATTTGCTGATCATTTATTTACCTCCTACATTTTAACTAACTTTGTGTGTCTGTGTTTGCCTTTTTGTCCCTTTTTACTTTCATCCTTCATAGTTCTGTAATGAGTAGAGTAGAGGACTGTAACAAAAAAGACTAAGGTGTGGTCGCCCTACTTAAGGAACTGTGATAATCCAGTGACTGAAAGATGACAGTCAAACAAATGACTATATGACATGGGAGAACGTAAGAGGTCTGTAAGAGATGGAGCATCAGTCTCCTCCCCTGTAATGTGGGCCTAGCACTCGACCTTATCCAGTACTTTTTAGGATAGAGTGAAATGCTTATGTTAAGTGTTTGGCAAAGACCTTGACTCTTAATAAGTAGTCAGTGTATGGAGTCTATAATGTTTCAGAGAGTCCCAGGGTCATAACTAAGATCCAAAGCTAGAAAAGCAACATGACAGAGTTTAAGAACCTTGCATGTCAGTCTAGAGAGTTTGGCCCTTCAGCTTGATAGAAACAAGTGTGCCAAGGTTTGTAATCATTCTGCAAAGAAATTAGAGCTAATGCTATTTTACATTACCTTTCAAAATTTGTCATAAGTAAGAAAGACTTGGTGGAAACAGTTGGAAGTGGTTTAAAGGAGTTATGAATTTGATGCCTTAAAAGGAAAGATGGTATTTTCAAGTCTGATGCCCTGTACTTTTTCTTCTACAGTAATTAGTGAAATCCAAAGGCAGCAACTGGAATCTGTGAGCTACTCCTCTCGCTATGCTCTGGGCCTCTTTTATGAAGCTGGCACGAAGATTGATGTCCCTTGGGCTGGGCAGTACATCACCAGTAATCCCTGCATTCGCTTCATCTCCATTGATAATAAGAAACGCAATATAGGTCAGTACCCCCATTATTTCCCTTAAATACAGTAACAATGGTGGGTGTAGATCATGAAAAATGCTGTTTAATTGAGTGTTGCCATTCTGAACAGAGCAGGCATTTAACTCCAAGCCACAGGGGATAAAATTTAATGTCACATTTGGCCAATAATAAAATACACAGTGAAACCAGCAGAGTTTTTCAAAAAATCACTCACCACATGGTTTGTATTACTGAGTTTATGAAAATAGTGTCAGATGGTTTAAGATTTCAAAATGGCCCAAGTTCTTGCTTTAATATGGCTCCATCTATATGCAAATATATCTCTCATCATTTGTTTCTTGGTGGAGTTTATTTTTTGTTTGATTGGTTTTGTTTTTAAAATTTGATGAATGTTTAATTCATCTTTCCACTTCCCAGGCTAGAAATAAAAAGTGAGTTTTACTATGTTATGAAAACCCTTCACTTCCATATAATTTTATTTATTTAATTTTTACCTTGAAGGCTGCATAAAATTATTTTGTATACAGTGTAACCAAAACAATAGGTAAGATGTTGTATAAGAGCTTTACTAGAATGGGATAAAAACTACACTCCACCTTTTCTGTTGAAGATAGTTATTAAGACTAGATTTGAATTGCAAGAATAAACGTAACTGGTTTATTTTGGGCATGAAGGTGAAAGTATATTCTTATTTGTAGGATTGTAGTACTCTCTGAGATACTGCTTTTTGTGGAAAAAACTGTAATGACTTAATTCTTGAAAGGAATCGTCATTTCAGTTTGTTATGGTGTATTATGGTGTAGTGATGGTTTCATCAAGCCATTAGTTAGAAGTCTTGCCTGATAAAATCACCAGCTAACGTCACTTGGCCTGATAGAACCTTATAATGATAGAACTGGGCTGGAGCATGGTTTTTATATCAGAGCACATGATCTTAGAAAAATGTTTCTTTTATAACTTAAAACTCTCTAAGGACTGGACTGTTTATGTTAACATGATACCACATATATGTACAATCAGCAGTTCTTGAAATGTCCTGTAACAGCAATGGACTAACCATTTTTAACTTTATAACTATTAGTTCTGAGAAAAGGAAAATAGCCTTTGATCTTCTCATGTTATATGTCATGAATTAGATAATATCCTTTGTGTATTGCTTCCAAAGATATGATATCTGTTAGGGTACATTTAGTAATACATAACAGAAAAACCAATTTAAACCTGTTTACACAGCATAAGAACACTTGTTATATAATCTGCTATGGACTGAATTGTATCCCCTCAAATTCATATGTTGAAGCCCTCAACCCCAATATGATTATATTTGGAAATAGGGCTTCTGGGAGGTAATTAAGGTTAAATGAGGTCATAATGGTCAAATCCTAATCTAATATGATTGGTGGCCTTATAAAATGAGAAAGGGAGAGAGAAAGAGCTGTATTCTTGTGCACATACCAAGGAAAGGCCATGTGAGGATAGTAAGCAAATGAAAAGGCAGGCTTTTCTGCAAGCCAGGAAGAGAGTCCTCACGAGACACCAAATCGACTGGCAACTTGATTTTGGACTTCCCGACCTCTGGAACTGAGAGAAATAAATTTCTGTTGTTTAAGCCATTCACTCTATGGCATTGTGTTTTGGCGGCCCATGACTGATACATTATCTAAAAGGAAGAAGCTGGGGAGACTTCAGGGCTGATTGATTCAAGAACTGAGCAATATCTTTAATGACCTAGGGTTTATCCTTCTCTGCTCTCTTCAATTCTTAATGTTGACATCTACAGAGGACTGGTAGCAAGACGGCAATGACTGTTGGAGTCACATCCAGATCCAAAAATATGTTTACGAAGAAGAGGGACTATTACTGTCTCTGTCTATTTCTAAGAATCAAGGAAATCTTTCCAGAAACCTCTCAACTGGCCATCTTGTATCTCATAGGTCAGAATTAGGTTACTGGACCAGTCTGAAACCAATCTCTGGCAAAGGGGGTGTGGGACTACCATTATGACCCTAGACAAATCAAGATCTTCTCCTGGAACTGAGGTTAGGATCCTCTTCCCTTTAGTCATATGAGGGATAGATACCTGCATAAAATAGGGCTTTGTTAGGAAGAAAGAAGGCTAATAGTAGATGCTGGTTTGGCAACAAATAATATCCATTATTTTCAAGTAGATTCACCCTTAGGTGGGAGATAAAGTTCTAAAGTTGGCCCACAATGAGAAGAATTACATATATTCAAAATCATTTAAAAAAATCTCTTAAAACTACATGACATTTTGGAGAGTGACATAATGTTCAGTAAGTTCAGTATAGCCATTTTGCCAATATTCAGTAGATTTCAGTTTCTTCGGGTGAGGCTATATTAAATAGTTGGTTTGCATTTATAGGACAGAGTAATACTTTCTACTATGAAAGGCACACAGGAAAGGAGATAGCAGTCATATCTCCCAGAAGATTAAATCACTATACAAATGGAATGGGATGGTAGGTGAAAACACCCATACTACTGTGCAGTAGCAATTTATAAAATCCGAGTTACGCAAATTTGAGAGTACAACATAAAAATATTAATAAATCTTACAAGGTGGCAGCATTTGAAGTAACAGAAATACAAAGAAAGATCTTTTATTTATATTAACAATCACACACTTTTAAAACTTGAAGGCCAGATGAATTGGGAGCCATGTTTTTGCTACAGCCCAGGGGAGTGCCACTTCAGACAGCAAAGAAGTACCTTCCTTTCTTTGTCAGTTTTATGAAAAATTAATTTTGGATTATACAAGTTTTAAATTATGAGAGGCCCCCAGTAATGACATTCCCTAACAGAAAATCTAACTGCCTTGCATTTAAACTATTTTTTCTGATTGTTTGGGGCCAGGGTGCTAAGTATGTCTACTTGAATTCATATAATACAAATGTCCATATAATGTAACTGCACTGTATTTTATTGATATTCATATTTAAGTAGACCAGTAAGAATTATCTCTTTATGTCACTAACATTACCCAACTCCCACCCTTTTGGAGGGGTGTTTTCTTATCAAGAATTAATACTATAAATACACACACTCAGCCAATGGAGGGGAACATTTGTGTTCTGTCAAGGTTGAGCAGCAACAAGGTAGACGAAGGAGGGCAGGGTTGAGTCCATAAAATAAAGTCTGTTGTCAAGTCTTGAAGATAGCTAGAGGATAAAGGATTAGTAACCCAAACTAGACAAAGGTCAAGAAGTAATCATTTGTCAAGTGTCAGAAATAGGCAGTACCAGAACCAAAGTCTCCTTAAGCGGAGGGGCTAAATTCCAAGATGTATTAGACCCAACTTCAAGTACTCATGAGTATAGATATGACCCAATATACTTCGGTTTGTGTTTCCCAAAATGTGTTCAATGGAACACCAGTTCCTTGATATGCAATTTGGGATGGGGCTCTGTCATGAAATAAGTTTGCAAAATGCTATTAACTTTACCCCTATTTTGGAGAATCTCAGGGTGTATCCTATTAAAAGGCATTCCTATAGAAAAGACACCTTCTTACTTAATACTTTACCTAGAATTTCCCAATGTACTTGACCGTGGAATTTTATTTGGGCACTCAACCTTCTAATATTCCACGGAAATCAATCCCCAAGACACACTTGAGAAAGCCTGACTTGATGCCACTGTTTGTGTTTTATTCCTGGGCAGCAAATGTAGGCCAGATTGGGGGATGAGGAAGTCTGGTCCTGAAGGCATCAATGGTATGATACTGAAATTTTTTAAAGGCGACTTGTTGCAGATGAGCTCAAAACTTGGTGGGGTCATACTTGGAGATGGTTTAGTTGAAATAAGGTCGTGTTAATTATCATTAACATGGATAATTTTTTTCTGATTATCAATAAGATTATCCTTGTGAGAAGAATTTGGACTTTAAGATTTAGATTCAAATTTTTGAAACATGCTAATGATGTGATCTTGCATGATCTTTGTTTCGGAACATTAGTTTTTGTAACAAACACACTAAAAAATTTGAATGGCCGAAACATAATGGAAGTTTGTTTCTTATTCACCTAAGACCCAAATAGATGTGTATGATTGGTAGGTAGCTTTCGTCAAAGAGGTGATTCAGAGACCCAGACTCCTTCCATCTTTTGACTCCACCAGCTTCATCAGGTGGCTTACAGGATCACTGTGCTCATAGGAATCAAATCAATGGATGAGAAAAAGAATGGAGAAGAGCACATAGGATATTTTAAAAGGTTAAACCTGAAAATGGTACACATCAGGAGGGCTCACATTCTATTGATTAGAACAGTTATGTGGCCACATCCATCTATTTGAAAGAGAAGCTGGAATCGTTGTCTACCCATGCACTAGGAGGAATAAAAAGTAGCTTTGATGAACATCTACTGTAGCACTTAGCATAGGTACTTCTGTGAAGGAAGCAGATTAGACCTACATGGATGATAAAGAGATTTCAACACAAGTGCCACTCATTCAACAGGAAGTCATCACCTAGGGCAAAGACTATGATTCCAAGGCTGCATCTAGACTCAGTTGAAAAGGATTCTGCCAACAATTGGCGATGTCTGTCATGCACAGGGCATAGGGAGTAGTGGGACAGGTGGAAAACATTTATCTCCTTATAGAGAAAACAATCCTGTGGGTTCCTCCTTTATTCTCACACCACTGCCGTACTCACAACACTTTTGACGCCAAAGGTGTGGGTTTTCCACACATCAGCAATTCTGCAACACCAGCTGGGTATCCTACAATTCAGTTCAGTTCTGACACTACCTACAAGGAGTTAGAAGCAAATCCCATAGGCACAGGGTTCAATGCCATAAAACTGCCTTCACTTCAGATACCAATTGCAATTTTCAGGCTGTCATCTGTTCTTCTGACCAACCTAGCTATAAACCGGTGTCCCCAGGACCCCTCCTTGGGCTTGATAATTTGCTAGAATGGCTCACAGAAATCAGGGAAACACTTAACTTACATTTAATGTTTTATTTTATAATAAAGGGTATGATACAACATACA